TGGTAGTGCGGTGCTTGGTGGGCAACAACAACCAAGACCATCCTCTGATAGTGTAGATATGACAAGAAGGGCTAGCGTTTGTTAGTGGTATCACACCTTGTCATATCAAAGGCCATGGATGCAACTGATGTCCCTCTTCTATAAAGACAACTCCACCTACCTTTATCACATATTGTTTGTCATGACGGAGTCTGGCTTGATGAGATTTACCCTTTTATGACTTGGCGGATTAATGGGGGTGCTCTTATGTTTCCACATAATTCACACTTTAGCTGTGGGCAAAACTACCCATTGTTGCGCCTTTGGGTATGAGAAAGCTATTCATGGCTGACCCTACAATACTTATGCAACATGGTTGGTGGTCATACACATCATTATTCTTTTGTACAAAAGGACAAGACTATTGGTTGCTAGTAATCCCGAATCACAACACATATCTTCTACATTTTTACATGTTAGCAGGAATTGTCAACTAGCAATGCTTAGCCCAGAACAACGATATTGCAACACATATCCACACTACTCATTTTCTATTTTGGCATAATGCCAGCCAGACACAACAGCATTATACAAGCACTCGCCATGGCTAGTGGACAAAGGGGCACGTCAATGTTTATTCTTATCATCCCCTTCAATACATAAGGGAGTATCCTTCTTCACTACATGTATTCATACATTTTACACTTAAATATTTGAACAAATACTCATTTATATTTGGCTCTTATTACATATAAATACAAGCCCATGAATCTAAGCTCATAGGAATTATTTGAGATAAATTATAGGAGTAGTGGCTTGGCAGGCATGGATGGCTGAACATTGCTTGTCTGGTGAAGCAAAGCATTCATGCCAGCCAAGCTTGGAGTTGGCGATGTTGCCCAATTTCACCAAAAAGGGTGGGGTGGCAAAGATGTGGAGGTGGACTTGATCCCTAAAACTGTACCATTTGATGCTAACTAATAGCTTGAAATCCCATTAAAAACTAACTAGAGATGCTGTTTTAGTCACCATCAACAACTTGTAGTTGTCTTTAATGTAAAAGTGGCTGCACAAGTTACATTGTGTTGGAAACTGTGAAAAAGGGTGGCTGCACAAGTTCCACTACATTGGAAACTGTTAAAAAAGATTACATTTTTCTTGAGAAATCTACCAAAATCCTGGGTAGATCTTATTTTTGCCAACTGCACTTAAGTATCCTCTCAAAAATGGAATTTTGCATGACTGGAAGAATTACCAAAAATGGGCAGTCTCTAGTCCTTTGCTGGAATCAGTGGTGCTTCATTGAAATCATTGGGTAATTCATAATATCACTGCCAAAAAATTGTTAGTAATGCCTAGAACCACTCCAAAACTTGACAGCTCACCCAAATCTACCTATTAGGTTGTTAGGCTACTTTGGTCCATCAACTTGAAAATTACAAAAATGCCACTACATATATATATATTATTTTTCCTTCATTTTTCAACAGATTAGAGCAAATTTTAGAACTCCGTCTTCCTTTTCACACACCAAACCTTTATTTTTCCTTTAAAAGATCCTTCATATTCAACCTCTCCCCATGCACACCAAAAATACTTAGAAATCACCATTCTTATTGTATTTTTTGCACTTTCAGCACTGCAAAATATTCTCCAGACTTGCAGACATAATGGCTGGGAGACATCATATTGTAGTTTCAGTTTTTGGGTTATTTTCTTGAGCATCAGAGGATCCAATTGAAGAGTTAGCATTAGAAACGAGATCAAGCCCTCTATTCACAAGCCCCCAGAATGATCATCCTTCCTTCTCCTATCACCACTTTCAAGTTTATTCCTTTTGTTCTTAAGAAATCTTGAAGCAAGTAATTGTGCTCTGCAACTTCAACTTGAGGGTTGCTCGTTATAGAGTAGGAGTATTTGTTAGGGACAATAAAAGGCACATTTAATATTATTATTATGTTACAATATACTATGTATAAATGTGTTTCTCAAATTGTAATATTTAATCCCTACATATTTTCCATCCTTACGACTCCTACTATGATGTTCACCTTCTTTTCATTTTCTTTGGTAGTTGTATAATCATTCGTAGCTCTTGGAACTCTGTCATCGTTGCTAGCTCTCCCTCTCAGTTTGGTTGGAAAATTTACACTTTCAGACTTTACTAGAGAATTTGCTACTGACCATCATCACTGGATAAAATGAGATGGCTCGTAGCATATAGCCTTTCACATGTGAGTGGGTGCTAGCCAAAAGGACCTTCCTCATTTCTGAGGGGTGGTATCCTAGTCAGCTTCCACATCATCCTCAATGCTAACTCATCAACCTACATCACCAACACACCCCAACATACTTCTATCTCTAGAGAATAAGAAAATTTAGTTAAATCTTGATAGTAGAGATAGTAATATATGCAAGTATATTTTTGAATCTCAAATTAAAAAACTTCATTAATTATGTAGAAATATTATTATAATTTATAAAGAAGTTGCTTAATTACTTCAAAATTTTACAATATAATGAT